GATTTATTTTCGAGATGGTCACGAAGTTAATGGTCACGAAGTTAATGGTCACGAAGTTAATGGGAAAGTTCCACCTAAGTATTCGCCTCTTCACCGGTTTTGTTTCTGAAAAATGCTTCGTTAACTTCGCGAATATTTCAACGACTCGCTTCACGTAGAAAACAAACGTGATAACCAGGATAATCGTGAAACAACCAGCGAGGACGAATTAATTCATCACTCTACTGTCAATTCTCTAAATATAATAACTTCTTTCACTATAAATGTTTTATAGCAACCTCGAATGTGCCCTTGCGTCCACCACACTGTGGTTTTAGCAACGTTACGCATACCAGGGTGGTTGGCGGTAGACCAGCAAAACTTGGTACGTTTTATGTCTTTCTTTTCGATTAATCTTTCCGTTTAATTAGAAGCGATTTACTATGAAGCATGAACTTGAAAGGCACTAGCCAGCATATCAAAATACAGTATGGACAGAGATCGAAAATTTTTAGGGGAGAAATTATATGTTTGAACTTATGAGTTCCGTATAATTCAAGTAGAAATTATATGGAATTATCTAATACTTGTTATTACATTGAAGTCAAAATTTAATTTTTCTTTTAATCAAATCTTTATTTGAGAGTATTTGTACGTATCGTCCTTTGCATGATCGAATATCGAATACATAATAATAGCGTTTAACTCATTACGCGAGAGGAAATTATGCATGTTCACAACTATACTATTGCATTTCAGGTGCTTGGCCATGGATCGCTGCATTAGGTTATATTAATTGCGCTGATCCAGATGGAGAACCGTATTGGGGCTGCGGAGGTTCCCTGATATCGGCTAGGCATGTTTTGACTGCAGCACATTGCGTAAAAATTTTTGGATTGTACGTGGTTCGTATTGGGGACTTAGATCTAGGACGAGATGATGATGGAGCGCATCCTGTTCAAATAGAAATCGAATATGTACTAGAACATCCTAATTATACTAACGGTACACACCATGATGATATTGCTATTCTTAAACTGAAGAAAAATGTTCCATTTTCGGGTAAGTCTTCAAATATTATTGAGTTTCTAATATCTATGCTACTGGGTATTACTGAAGTATCATTTCGTTAAATTTCTTACTGTATATGTATATTGTATTATAAAACGTGTAGAATTCTTCCTTATACATCTCGTCCCTCGTTTTCTTCACTGTGATTTATTTCCTTACTTTTCAGAATACATACGTCCTATTTGTCTCCCCATAGACCAGCCCTTACGAAATAACAACTTCGAGGGTTTCCATCCTTTTGTTGCTGGATGGGGAGCGGTGGGATATGGTAAGTAATACTAATTTCATAACAAAATGAAATTTGTTCCAGTTCTAAATGTCCCTCTCATTTTCTTCGTAGGTAAAGATTTGAGTGACGAATTACTGGAAGTACAAGTGCCAGTGATTAGCAACACTGAATGCAAGAAAGGTTATTGGCCAATTGACAAGCAGCGTATCACCACAAAAGTAATATGCGCCGGCGAGAAAGAAAAGGATGCTTGTCAAGTAATTAAATAACAGATTTACCATAAATTATACAGTATCAGATGATAACTCAATTCGAATCAACGTCAAATCGAGTTCTTAAATATTGGAAATATTATTAAAGTTAACTTAAGACTTTTGTCCATTTCTTACACATCATTATTATATTTAACATAATTTCTTTCTAATCTTAGTTTTTCTCAAAATACATATAACATATACATTAAAAATTGGAATATATCAATATATAAATTAACAATAGATTATTACTGCATATAAGTATAATTTCAATATAATTCGATAGAAATATTTCAGTAATCTTGATTAAAAATTTAACGATCGTTTCAGGCTGACAGCGGCGGACCACTGATAATACCACAGCAATTCACCTACTATCAAATAGGTATTTTGTCCAGTGGTCACAGGTGTGGCACTGCTAGATTTCCCTCCGTTTACACTAGGGTCACGTCGTACTTTGACGACTTCATTCTGCCAGTGTTGCAAAATTATTAATGTCTCATAAATATAATTTTTCGTGTACGAGAAGCAAAGCTGGAATTTATAATTGTGGTGATAAGAGCCAGCTCAGACTTATTGTTTTGTATGGCAGGGATTATAGCCTTAACATGCATGAAATGTCACTTTGAAGCGACACTAATTTTTTAGACACGCTAAAAATGCACGACATAGAGATATAAAAATGATAAACGAACATTAATTAAATTACTATTTCCGCTTCTTCTTTTTTGATGGTAATAATAAATCAACTTTCGCAAAGCTTTTATAAATCTTATTTCTGATGCATAAAGAGCATATTCCACATAGAACGTTTACTCTTTGTATGTATATGCAAAATTTCGGACTACTCTGAAACATTTCATAAGATAGAGAGCTTCCAGAAGTTCCAGAAACAAAGATAAACCTCGCGTCTTTCAAAACTATTATTTTCCGTTGAAAATTTTCTGTCTATTCCTGAAATTACGTGAATCCCCGAAATTTTACTTATTCTTTTATCACTTCCTAATTAAATACACTCTTTCTGCATGTTTAGCTGTATGTAACAGAAATTTCCATTCAGCCAGAGGTATACTTATACATTACAGATATTTACAAAACACTTTAATTCCCAATCTATTATGATGCATAAAAAAATTTATAATGTTAAATCTATTCGTATTTTATTGCGTGTAAGTATAGATATAGTGACGTACATTATCTTTGAACGTACATTACCATTGCTCCGTTGAATGTTTCAATATTGCGCATATTTACCGTATTTTATACAGACTTTGTATGATTCTTCAGATTATTAATCAAAATGCTGGTGCATAAAGAAGCGGTACAATGATGTGTAGTCTAGTGTCATTTGTAAATATCAAGGAGTCTCCCCTACATTTGCTCAGGTATATATCTTAGACTATACTCTATTGAAAATGTATAATTATTAGAGTATGAATAATTAATTTTTAATTCTATCAGAATTTTAATGAGATTGTACCTTGGGAAAAAAGAATTAATACCTTGATATCATATATACAATAAATTTTGGAACATTATACAATGAAGAGTCAAATTATTATGGTCATGTGATTGGAATAAAAGGACCTCAATTTGATGATATTCTTAGGAAGTTAGATAATATAACTAGGTATATGATATTCACAATAAGATAGAATACCATGGTTTACATGATCTTAGTATTGTTCATTTAAATGATCATGGAATAACAACTGTTAAGTTAGACAGCATAATAGATTTTACAAACTATGTTAACAGCTCTGATTACAAATCTGTGGTTACCTCCCCAAGATTACACATTTTCTCCAATTCTGGTATGTTGCTTCATCGTACGAGCTATTAAGTCTATTTAAATTATTAGTAACAGATTCCTTTTTCTGCAACTCAAAACAAAAATTCTGAATCTCATATGGATGAATGATGTTAATAATTTGTGTCTCTTTTCAGATTAAGCAATTTTCCGGATTTATTCATAATTTCGAAGAATATGCTGGTATTCAAAGAATGAGGAAAAGAATGGACCAATATAGGAAATCTCTTTTTCATTGTAGGTGACATATACTTCATTCATTGCATGGTTCAACGTATTTTTGAACACATGTAACTGGGAAAATTCTTGTGTGATTTAAAAAAAGGAGGAGTATTGATATCTTCGAATGACATTAGAAATATTTCAATATAAGCACCATTGTCGAAGAATTAGAAGATTTTCGTAAAAGTGAGCATAAAAAAGTTTAAAAACATCTCTCATCGTGACAGGTATCTCTCAATTAGCCGTCAAGTGTGTAAGTAAAAGGGTCGTAAGATTGATCGAATTTGGTTTTTGATAATTCTGTGACTACAGATCAATCATTTTTAAGATCAATTAAAGTTGCACTTGTCACACAGGTAAACAGCTTTTATCGTAGAAGTAACTTTTATGTGATGTGTTACGTGCAAAAGTGTTTATTTCTGTTACCATGTTATTGGTATTTTACAGGTTTTAGTACTAGAACTATCAATATGTAATGTTGTGCTATATAATATGTGCTACACTAACTGAATGTGCTATATAATACATAATTGTAAGAGAAACGACAAAATGATGGTATAAATAGGTACTTAAAGAGAAGTTGGTACAATTGTATCTTAGTTTTCCAAGAATGATGAGGTAAGTAGGAATAGAAATAATAAGATTTGAAATAATAATCTATTCCGCGTGCTTGTGCTCCTTTTCTAATGCAAATTCAATCTACACGAACCAAGTTTCCTTTATTGTTATTAGTTTCGCCTCTTTCTAATTCGCCACAGTTCTTAGCTCTTTGTTTCAAAACATTGTGTAGTATAAATAGATAGTTCGACGGGAGTTCTTACAAGTGTATCATCGTTTTCCAAGTGTGGTGAGGTAAGTAGGAACCGATATACAATAAGAATTGAATTTATATAGAGTATTTTGTTATAAATCTTCCTATGTACGTATAGAAACGTGTTTTAATACTTACAAGTATCCAGATTTTTCTATTAAAAGTTATCTGAAATTAATGA